AAAGTGGAACACGGTGAAGACAGGGTTTTACAATGGAATAGCTGGGAAGGATACCAGAGGCAAGGAGACCAGTGAGGCACCCACTGCATGTCTGAATGAGAGATGATAAAGCTGAAGCCAATGGGGAATGAAATAAAGGTAGCATTTGGGAAAGGAGGAGTAATTTGGTTGTCCTTTATCTCTTTTCTTCAACAAAAGAGAGTATTTTTCAAACCCACATATTTTAAAGGAATAAAAATTCAAAATTATTTCTCTATTTTGAAAGTTGACAACTTTGAAGTATGGAATTAAGGAAAAGGAGATTGAGGCTCTGAACATGAAGCGCTGACACCTATTTGAAAAGTTTCTTATTAAACCCTAATTTATCTGGTCAAAGAGAAGTGGTAACTTTGGGGTTGAGGGGGCAGGAGCAATGTTAGATTTTTTTGTTCATCAAGTCAAGACCAATGAGAAACATTACCTACCTCACATACAAACACACACATATACTTCCTAACGCTAGAGAGATGAAATTTTTAAAGGCCTCAGCTATTATTCCAATAACAGCAGTTTCTCATTGATGATAATCTTACAGAGCTTCAATATTGTTAAATACACCTTTCAGTAACAGCAGAGTAAAGGATTATGGGAGAATGCTAAGGTGATGAGAAAACTTAATGACCATCCAGACCAACTCCCCCTTTTTTACAGGAGAAACTGAGACCAGGGAAGTTATTTTCCCTTTTAATCAGAAAACACAACTGGTGTGAAAATCCTTGTTTCCTATCTTAAGTGTAATTTTCTTTTTTAATATTTTATTGATTTTTTACAGAGAGGAAGGGAGAGGGATAGAGAGTTATAAACATCGATGAGAGAGAAACATCGATCAGCTGCCTCCTGCACACCCCCCACTGGGGATGTGCCCGCAGCCAAGGTACATGCCCTTGACCGGAATCGAACCTGGGACCTTTCAGTCCACAGGCCAACGCTCTATCCACTGAGCCAAACTGGTTAGGGCAAGAGTAATTTTCTTGGTTACTCAGTTCTTTACTTCAGTCTTAGTGATTCCATCCTTCTGTGAAATTTTTAGAAGCTAATTGTAGCTATGGGCTCTCTAACCCTGTATTTCTCTTCCGCTTGTATCATTGAGAAGGAAATACACAGAAAAGGCCCCCAAGGATGAGAGAGGGCTCCCATTCCAAGGTGGTGAAGTAATTCAGCCAGCTAGTAGCCCAAAGCAGAGAGAGATTGTGATGCTCAGATTGTAGAACAAAGTTCCAACCTGCCCTTGTCCACACAATGTATATTATTGAATGCACTTAAAGATGATCAAACAGTAATTCTGGCTCCAAGATGTTGGAGGAAAAGAAATCATTGTGACCATCTTATAGGCAATGGCTGGGTGGTGGGCATGAAGCAATGGTTTCAGGAAGGGGCAGAAATGGATTTACCATGAACCCAAAGAAACTTAAGCTTCACTAACTTGGGTCCTTCTAGATCCTGGGAGGTGGCCTAACAATTTTGTATTTATGATTTTGTGTGTTTTTTTCTTAAAGAGGACTCCTCAAATTGTAGGTTAATTTCTACACAACCCCTAAGGATGGGATGTGCTAATAGTATCGCCCTCTAGAAATGCCTCAAAGTGTCAGTAACCTGCTTTATTAGCTATTAGAAGTTTAAAGGTCCACTCTTTGGCCATCCTGTCCAAATTATATCAATCACACTATTAGAAATGGAAGAGGTGATGTTTTATTTTTTTTTAATATATTTTTATTGAGTTTTTACAGAGAGGAAAGGAGAGAGATAGAGAGCTAGAAACATCGATGAGAGAGAAACATCGACCAGCTGCCTCCTACACACTACCCACTGGGGATGTGCCCGCAACCAAGGCACATGCCCTTGACCGAAATCGAACCTGGGACCCTTGAGTCTGCAGGCCAATGCTCTATCCACTGAGGCAAAGCAGTTAGGGCTGGGCTACTAATTTTTAAACTCGTTTTGATTTTTCCTGATAGTGTCATTGGACAATGAAGACTTTTCTTCCATGTATGTACTAGTTTT